CTGTCGGCGCCGCCCTGGCGCGGCGTCGTAGCTCTCGAACCAACGGAGGTCCCCCCGCGCTCCGGCGGGCCGCGCATTCGGGGCCGTCAGCGCATTCGTGATGGAGCTGGACGACCCACGACATGGGGTCTGCGGTGACCTCGAAGGTCTGAGGCGCGCGCGTCTCCGCCCGCGCCACGGCGGCCGGGCCGCCCCTGCACCTCCACGTTGAAGGACCAAGGGCCGTCCGAGTCGCCTGACCGACGCCAGCGAAAGCAGCGATTGCATCATGGCTCGGATTAAATATGCCCAAGTGCCGCGCACGGCACGCACGCATCCGCTGAAGTCACGCAAAGACATCAGGGACGACTACGCTGTAGATCCCGGCGGAAGCACTCGCGCCATGGATGCCGTAGCGGACTGCATGGGCGAGGCGGAAAAGTTCTCAGTGAAAGAGTCGACGTCGCGCAACTTACATGGCATCTCAAATGACACCAGAAAACTGCGGAGGCGCATCCGCCCCTGGCGCCTGCGGCCCCCACGCGGCGAGCCAGCGAAAGGATCTGCGGAGGGAGCGGGCAAGAGGTCGACATCGATGTCACTGACGACTATGAGGCGGCTCCGTCTTGGACGAGCCTTGGCAGAATCGGCTACATCCACGAGGCAAAGAAGAAGCTCGTCGCCGCGCTCCCCTTGCACCATGACGATTGAGACGGCGCTGCCCTTGCTGCCGTCGAAACCACCCTGCAGCAGCGCCCGCGCGCCTTGGGGACCTTCAATCGCGGCGGCCACGCATCGCGAGCGAGCACTGTGAAAAGTGCAGGACCCGCACCTGGCCAGAGCTGCATGCATCGGCGAAGCGTGGCCTGCTCCAAGGAAAACCCCGAGGTGCAATTAGCATCGCTAATGGCTGGAAATTCAATAGATCAACGCGGCCATTCGACCTCGAGCTCGTGAACGAAAGCCATCCATGCCGCGGTGAACGACACGCAGCACAAGCCCCATAGTCACGAGTGGCCAGCGCAGGCTGCGGCAAGCCCCAATACCTCCGCGCACCACGCGGGCCAGTGCGTTTTCGGCTCGCGACCTGTTCGCGTCGAACCTCAGTTCCTTGTTCGCCGCGAAGCTCTTGCGGAGGCCCTCGCCCAGAGTCGAGCTGGACCCATCGTGCGGGCGTTGCGGAGCACGACCTCACAAGGACCCAGGGCTGTCCCCGGCGGCCGCGACGGTCTCCACCTGGTCCTCCAAGCCAGTTTTTTCGCAGGACTTGCCAGCACCTCTCCCGCGGCGTCTCCGGCGGCGCGTCGCAGCCCAAGCCCCCGCAGACGCACGCCTCGCGCATCACTCAGGGTACCTCAGCGATCTTCGCGATCTGCTGCTCCACCTGGCTCCTCAGGTCCTCCATCCCTTTCCTTCTCAATGCCTCGTCGTGCGCCCCAGCCGCAAACGGTCTGCCCGCCTTGCTGCGGTGGGCGTCCTTGAGGGTTCGTGGCTCGGCCTGGAGATTCTCCAACGTCTGCTATAGCTTCAGGGCCTCATCGATATCCCCCTCTCTCGCCTGGACCTGCAGCGACATGGAACGCCGCGCCCCGCTCGACACCCACGAAACGCTCCTCGACGTGCCCACCGCAGACCGCGAGAAGTCACCCAGCGCAGTCTGTAGCCCCTTGGCCTGCGGCTTTTCGAAAGGCATGGCCGACGGGCTGGCGCGGCGTTGCCCCGCATCTGGTGCCTCGGGCGCACGGGCCTTCCTGACCTTCGTGGCCGCGGGCGAGCTCGCGTCCGCCGCGCAGTGATCCGTCACTCCCGAAAATGACGGCTGCGAATCGTGCAAGCCATGAAAACGCGCGCAGCAAACACTCCCCCGTCCACAATGGGTTCTTGAAGCAACACTTCGATCCGACAGTCGGGGATGGACAGACCCCCCTTTAGTAAACCGTGGTTTAGTGAAAACGACCTGAGGCCCAAACCTGGCGGGCGCAAGCCTGGAAAATAGCGGCCACGGCGCCCTCTCGAGAACCGAAAACAGACAATTCACTAATCGACGTGTCACTGTTGGGGTCTCTATCCACCCCCGAGACAAATTTACCAAAACAGCGTTTAACCATATGTATTATTACTTGGGCGACCGTAACTAGATGGACGGGTGTGGCGGGGTTTCGTCTGAAGCCTGGTTGCTGGCCGCTCGTAGGCGACAGGTGCGCGCCGGTGCGCTGGGTGGCTGCGGCGGGGACTCGCATTTGCGGAGGGGCCAAACCACTACGCCCCCGAAGCCAAGACATGATTTTCACAAGAACTCCGGGGAGGCGCACTTAAAAAAGAACTATACTGTGTCCCCACTTCTGCACATGGAACTTGAAATACTGCAACTCGTCAATGCATAAGCGAACTTTCCTCGCCTTTGAACGGGAGGTGCTTCGATTGATGCCTGCTGCACGAGGTAGCCAGTTGAATCTGGCTACACGAAGGAAATCCACGTTCAGAGGATCCACTAATGCGCCCAAATGCCTGGGGAGGACCCCTGGAAGAACCGAAGGAGCGTCGACCCCCTCGCCGAAACCGAATGGGGCGCCCGGGAGGCGCCGCGCCGGAGGCGTCGCGCCCGAGCTGGACCGGAAACACAAGACCATGCCACCGCCTGCAGGGTGGCGAAGCAGGAAACCTATGGAAGCGTTATGTTCAGACGTCTATAGAACGTTATGGAAGCGGTCTGGAAGCGTTATGGAAGCGTTATGTTCAGACATCTATAGAAGCGGTCTGGAAGCGGTCTGGAAGCGTTATGTTGAGACGTCCATGTTCAGACATCTGTGGAAGCGGTCTGGAAGCGTGATGTTCAGGCGTCTATAGAACGTGCCAGCCCCGAGCCTGAAGTTGGTCTCGTGGCAGCCCACTGCATCTGTGCCGACGAGAGGAGGGCTGCCCGAGGAAGCCTGCTGGAGGAAGCCGTGCGGCTCTACGGGGGGGAGGGGGGCCGAAGAGAGAGGGGGCCGCAGGAGGCACGCGAGGGGGGGGAAAGAGGAGGGCGAGAGGAGAAGCAGGAAGAAGCGGCAAGAGGTTGACAGGTGCAAATGCGGCCAGAAGTGGCCAAAAAACGGGCATGCCATACCTGTGAGGTTCCAGCAAGGGGGTTGAGGCAGAGTGCGCCGGGCCGACCTTTGCCGTTTTAGCCCTTGCCAACCTTCAGCAAAAGCGGCACAGGGAGGGGCTGGGCCGAGCCCACCCCGCCTCAACCCCCTTCGGGTCCTTCCGGCATGCCACGGGCTCCCGTGCAAGCGGCGGTCGGCTCAGATGGACTCTCCGGTGAAGCCGTTCCAAATGTTGGTGATGCCGTTCCATGCCGCACTCCGACCAGCGGACGAGAGGTGCTCCTGACGGCAGGCGTGGGGGGCGAGGAGCGGGCCGCGCCGGCGCAGTCGGGCAGCCCCAGAGCCTCAGCGTGGTGAGAGCTCCGGGGGGCCTGCACGTTTCTGCGTTCCCCAACCTCTGGGGTTCTCGGCGGATCTGGCAGTGTCCTGGAGGTTGCTGCTCCCGAAATGCCCCGCCAGAAACAACTGCTGTGGAGCATACTAAGCCAAGGGGAAGGAGACGTGATGGCGAACAGATCCGATCCACGGTTCCGCCACCCATCCGATGCGACATGGACTCGAGCAGTGTCCTCCTCCGCCTCCATCCTCCTCTTCATCCTCCTCCTTCTCTTGCTCCTGCTCCCATTCTTCCTCCTCATACTCCTCCACCAATCATCTACCATTATTCCTCCACCTTCTCCTCCTCCTCCTCATCTTCAAACCCGCGGTGCGCATTGCTGTGGTTGCTCGCCCCATTGGGTTTACAATAATCGGTAATCAGGGAAGTTAAGATGTGTCTGCCCGTCTAGTATATCACTAGAACCACCGCGTGTGCTTCGCGCGCGCGTTCAGGTTCTCTGGATACCCAGCTCGCAGTGTGATGTCGAAGGTTAAGCGACGGTTCGACATGAGTTTAGTCCGAATACGCTACGGAAGCAAGTAATACATAGCGTGTGCCTGGGCACCGAGGTCTCCAGGAAGACGACGAAAAGGACGAGGCGTGCGGTTTGGACGTCGAGAAAGGGGAGAAGGGTCCAGGAGCATGACGGCGACGACAACTAGGGCAGAACGTGAAGGAGGGGCAGGAGCATAAGGATAAGTGGAGTCTTTCAAGACCAAGAGCAGGAGGACGACACACAGATGAGGGGCCACCGTGCACCTCGTCCACGTGCGCCTTTCCGAATGGCATTCTGCCCATCCTGTCACCGTGCCTGGGTTGTTCGTCTGAGCCCTCTTGACTCTGGGGAAGCCTCTTGGAGGCAGTTTTGAAGCCTCTTGGGGCGCCTTTCGGGGCCTCTGTTCGGCCTCTTGTGGGCCCTTGGGTCCTCTTGGGGAGTTCTTGGGGAGTCCTTGGGGGCCTGATGACGGTCTTCGGGGTCCTCTTGGGACGGAACCTGCGAAATCTGGGTTTGAATCCCCCCCCCTGAAGTCCCTCTTGGGGCCCTCTTTGGGCAATATCAGGCGGTCCTGGTACCTCCTCGGCCGTCTTGGGGCCCTCTTGGGCCGTCTTGGGTCCCTCTTGGGGATCTCTTGGGCCGTCTTTGGGCTGTTTGGGGGGGGCTCTTGGCCCGTCTTGGATGCTGCGAGAATCAACAAAAACGAAGTTGCTTGACATGCGCATGATTAAGCAACGAGTGTTGCCTTGTCGGGCCATCTTGGGGATCCTCTTAGAGCCGCCTCTGTTTGTTTTGATGCAGGTCGTCGTGAATCCACACGACTGAGACTGAGACCTAACAAACAGGCAGGCTCTCGGGAACAAGATTGCGCTGGACAACATTCCTCTCAAAGCGCGTCACCAGTCAAAACAACATGGTGGCACGATCGCTCTGACAGGGCCAGGGCTGGCATCCGACACTGGAATGCGTACCTGTTGCACTCATCACTGGTATGTTAGATAGTTGATCTCACATTAGATTATTTGATAGCCAGGTCGTGCCAGCAGCTGAACAGTCTGGCTCAGAACTCGTCGCCATAGCCCTCCTCCTCGCCCTCCCCCTCGGCGGTTTCGATGCCGACCTCCTCGTAGTCTTGCTCTAGCGCAGCCAGATCCTCGCGGGCCTCTGAAAACTCTCCTTCCTCCATACCCTCGCCGACATACCAGTGCACGAACGCGCGCTTGGAATACATGAGGTCGAACTTGTGGTCGATGCGGGAAAACACCTCCGCGATGGCTGTGGAATTGCTGATCATACAGCACGCGCGCATTACCTTAGCCAAGTCACCGCCAGGCACCACAGTGGGCGGCTGATAGTTGATGCCGACCTTGAACCCTGTAGGACACCAATCGCTTTCCTTGTCTGAGCGGATATTTTTTAAGGTCATAAAGAGCCCCCCCTCCTCCGGCAACCCGAGAAGGCGAGCAGACCGAGCCCCTCGCGGAGGGAAGGTCCAGACCAGCGCGAAACAATGGCGTACCACTCGCCCTGCGGAAAAGCCGGCGCATGCATGTCATGCCCTGCACATGGCCGGAGGTACTGTGCAAACCAAAGCGGCCAACCACAGAAGCATGCGACGAAAAGCCTTGTCCTCGCCCTGAAACAAGCTAACCACCAGGATGTGAATTGAACTACCAGCCACCCATGCATTCGAGTAAACTCCTGACATCGGCAGCAACCTGCACAGGCGCAGGCGTGGCCCCCAGGACACTGCAGATGTGGGAGCCGATGACGCCGGGGCGCCACGTCGTCAAATGCCACGATCCCGGGCAGCCCTGGCCCTCCTTCGGCGCTGGCTGTGCGACACCTGGGCCTCCGCAGAAGGCACGGCCATCGCGACCTCGGCAACTGCCTGGTCAAGAGCCTCTGCAGGGGCGAGCCTTGAAAATGAGTAGTCCGCAGCCTCCTGTCGGTCTTCCACCGGTAGCACCAAGAACCGCTTCTCAGTCCAGGTAGCGCCACCACCGAAGGTGAGGAAGCCGCTGCTGCCAGCCATGTGCTGTCGCAAATTGTCCAGCGACGGCGAGTAACGGATGCCAACACCACGGGGGCACGCAATAACAATTCTAGATGCCTCCTCCAGGCACGCCCATACAAAGATACCCCAGTTCATAACCAACGCCCGCCTGCGGTTCAGAAAATCCCTATAGATATCCATCCACTCGTTGACGCGGTTCGCAGATCCGCATCGGCGCAATAAGATCCGCGCCCCCTGCACTGAGGCCCGGGGCACACCAGCGTCGTGAGTAATGTCGTAGTCCGTCTGCCAGTGCTCCTCCACGAGTGAGGTCTGGAGATTGTCCCGCTTGAGCAGCACCTCGACCCCTGTCACTGGCACGTGCACCCCGTAACGCTGCGACGCCTCCACATAGCTAATGACTGTGCCGGAGAAGCCATTGAGAGGTGAGCCTCTCGCCGACGTCAAACCAACAATAGTAATCTGCGTCCCCACGGCCAGCAGCGAGTCGTCGTCGGAGGACTCGCCACCAATAGCAAACACCTCCGGCTGGGCGCCGGAGGACCCGTTCCCGTGGAGGATACGCATCAGCTTATTCCACCGTCTGGCGAGTTGCCGTAGCCACCCGCGGCTATTCACATGGCCGCTCAGGCCCCTCAAGTGTGCCCACTCGGGGCGCTCCATTACGTCATCAGACCGCTGGGGACATTTATGTCCGGATAGTTCCGGTCCAACGCCGTATGTCCGGCATGTCCGGTATGTCCTGGCGCTGAACCCCCTCCCAGCTGGGGACCCTGTAGGACACCAATCCACAAACATAAGCACCCGCGTGCGGGCCGCGCCGCGGCCTCGGGTCGGCCCTCCGGGGGGGATCTCGTTGAAGCAGTAGAGACCCCCACTGCGTGCTGGATCTGTTACGGGGCGCCCATCCCGTAGAACCCCTTTCTGGATTCTGTAGCAGTTCGGAGCAGGCCAGGAGCTGTAACGGCAACCAGCGCGACGGTCCGCACATGGGCATTCCTGTAGGCCAGAGCTTTATAAGGCGCTTCCACATGTAGGTCGGCTGGCCCACCCACCTGTCCGGCTGCGACCCGCGGGCCGGTTGAATTCCCCGCATGTCTTTGGCCCCCCCGCCACTGCCTACGCGGTAGCACGAGCACCGAGAATCCCGAAGCTGGGAACACCCCGTGCACCTCGTCAATTTATGGCCCCGGTCAGCAGACAGTCCCTCGTGCGAGGTACTTCTCCAACCCAGAGCCACGCCCGCCAGAGCCTCGTTAGCCGCGTCAACCACGTGCCGTTGGCGCCCTTCCACCCCGGAGGGTAGCCCGCGAAACCTCCGGCGAGCCGGAGGGGGCGGGAGAGGCTGCCACAGCGCCGTGGGATCGTTCCCGCTCCCCGCCAGACTTTCGTCGGTAGGTGAGGTTGGACTTTCGGCAGCAGTGTGGCAAGGACATGGGTACAGCCACCTCCGAGCCTCCCCCTGCCGGGCCGCGGCCGTAGCCGTAGCCGGGAGCCCAATCCACAAACTGAATTGTGCGTTTCGTCTTGATAGTGGCTACCGATGCATTCACGTCCTTAGGCACCACGTTCGGTACATCATGCAGCACGCGGGATAGGAGCTGCAAAGGTCAAAATGACCACTCCCGGCGGTTGGCTTAGCCATCCGCCGCAGGGCGATTTTGTGCGTGGCAGTACTCGGGAGCACTACCAGGGAGGCCAGACACCCCTCACAAGCCTTCCCTTGCTCGCGGAACTCAAGTCCGCGAGGTGTGCCGATCAGGATGCACCCAATGACAGCCTTCCCAGTAGGAGTCGTGACCGCACCCCCCGATGTGGCGAGGACTATAAAGTCAGGGCACTAGGCCTACACTCCCTGGGTCGGCTGCCACGGACCGCCGTCACGGCACACTTGCGTCTGCTGGAGGCCCCCTTTACCTCCTTGGCCTTGATGCCCTCCGCCGCCTCTGGGGAAAGACGGCCGTCGACAGATACTGCCAGCATCAACTTACCCCTGGCCGCCACGAGGAGGCTTGCAGTCCGACTTTTCGGCCAGGATCATGCAGCACGCCATGTACTTGCCGTGGCGGGGGTCACACTTGACAAACATGGCCGAAGGTTCAAACACGGACATGGTGATTTCCGCCACAGAGAGCTGCTCGTGGTAGGCCTTCTCTGCAGAGATAACTGGTGCGTAGCTCGAGAGCATGAAATGGATGCGTGGGTATGGCACCAAATTCGTCTGGAACTCCGTGATGTCCACGTTGAGCGCGCCGTCAAAGCGCAGCGATGCCGTCAGCGAAGATATGATCTGAGCAAGAAGCCTGTTCAAGTTCGTGTATGTGGGGCGCTCGATGTCGAGGTTCCGCCTGCAAATATCGTACAGTGCTTCATTGTCGTACATGATAGTGACGCCAGTGTGCTCCAGCAACGAATGCACGCACAAAACGGTGTTGTAAGGCTCCACCACGGCCGTGGCGATCTGCGGGCAAGCCCACACTGTGTACGAGACCTTGGTCTTCTTGCCGTAGTCCACCGACAGGCGCTCCAGCATCAGGCAGCCTAGCCCAGACCCAGTGCCTCCCCCAACGGCGTTGTAGATCATGAATCCCTGGAGCCCGGTACAGTTGTCGGCGAGCTTCCGAATGCGGTCCAAGACCAGATCGACGATCTCCTTGCCGATCGTGTAGTGGCCGCGCGCGAAGTTGTTGGCCGCGACCTCCTTACCGGAGATTACCTGCTCGGGATGGAAGAGCTGGCGATACGTGCCGGTGCGGACCTCGTCGACAACAGTGGGCTCAAGATCCACCATCACACAGCGCGGAACGTGCTTGCCTGCACCCGCCTCCGAGAAGAATGTGTTGAAGGCATCGTCGCCACCACCGATCGTCTTGTCGGAGGGCACCTGCCCGTCAGGCTGGATGCCATGCTCGAGGCAATAAAGTTCCCAGCAGGCGTTCCCGATCTGAACAACCGCCTGCCCGATGTGGATGCAGATCGCCTCACGCATAGTGTTGAGAAAGCTGCCTGGGGAGGCGGATGTCTCGCGGGATAGGCAGCAGAAAGAGACTGCCGCGCAACGTGGCGATCTCCCGTGCAGCTGATTTGAGCCAAAATGTCTACGGAGGGATCCTCTTGGAGCCGTCTTAGGGCATCTTTGGGGCCCCTTGGGCCGTCTTGACGCCATCTGGGGCCGTCCGGAAGCTATCTTGGCCCGTCTGTGACATATTTGGAACCTACCCAGGGGAACCTCTCGGGGGGAGAAAAAAACATAAAAAAAACTAAACAAAAACAGAAAAGACGTGAAAGGGTTTTTTTCTGTCTGAATGTTGTGCAAGTGCCCCTGGTGGTCTTCGGCCTGGGGACCTACAGGGCCAGGTGTCCGGCATGAGAGATATATCAACAAAAATTATGAGTGGCGAGGATACCAACATTTCCTGCGATCTGACACGTTGTCATGGCCTGCGTGAGGGTAAAAGCGCAACAAGATACACAGGTGGCCCCAAAGAGGACGCCATGGTGGACTGATGCCACTGGAACAGATTTCGCCGACTAGGTTGCGAAGCCAGAAGAGCAGTGCCTGTTTGCCTATTTCGCTTTTCCACCAACGAGATATTCACACTGCCAAAGACAACAATCAACTGGTGAACAAATGCTTGGTGTATGCTGCTACAGGCCTCAGCCTGTGCCAGCGAATACGACTAACATTGCACTCTCCTCTCGGAGCAAAAACCAACGGCCAGACGAGATCGGTAAGAGGGAGGAAATGCTCCCGAGGTGTGGCAGCAGCCCGATCCACCCGCACCCGTCCCCGTGCTTCCCCACTCCGAGCATTTCTGGGAGAGGAGGCGGAACGGGACATGGATCTGATAACTAGGAAGAGCGTGTGCAGAAGTGCAGTTGTTCAGATCACAAAATGGAGCACTATGGAATGAATGAAACGCGCCAAGGCGCGCGCTCCAACTCGGCTCTTCCCGTGTCACCGTCAGTGAAAAAATGCTCTCGAAAAAGAGGGACGGATGGTATTCGCCACCGTGCCGCAGGCGCTGAGTGGAGCGCTCTCAATTCCCCTCGAATGTGTTGCATCATGAACTGTATGTCCTCTGACAGGCGTCCCGTGGCCCAAATTTCCCAGGCGGTTCCTGGCGCCCCTGGGGCTTGTTGTGCAACTCTTCCGCTAGCCAGTGAGTACACGTCGGTCGGAAGAAGTGGGTGGAAACAGAAAGCAGCGAGGCGGACAAAGAAGATCGGGTCCAGGCCCTCCCAGAGAACACCAAGACACGGCAGAATCAGGTCGAGTCTTGAAGTAGAAAGGCGCTTGAAGTGGACTGGGATCCGGGAATTCAAAAATACCTACAGTGCCGTTCTTTTATACGTGCTCCGCGTGCGGATCAAGTATTGAACATGCAGGGATTTAGCATTAAAAACAGCTATGAGTTCATGCATAATTTCATTCATACATTAATCCTGTATTTAAAATCCTATACGTTTTAAAACCCTATGTATTCAAAACTGCCCTGCAACGACCGGCGTGTCCGCGCAGGAAGCTCTTGCGGCTGTCTCCAGCGCTGTCGGGGCTCCGCTGCTTGGAGCGCGGGCCGGCCCCGCGGGGGCACGCGCTGCGTGCCAGGCAGGGCCACCGAGACGGCCCAGAAGGCACCCCGAGAGGCCCCGCGCGCCACCCTTAAGAGGCACCCGGCGGCCTCTCGAGAGACCCCCCTCGCAGGCCGCCGGGAGGCGCCCACAAAAATCCTCCTCCGCCTCCTCCGCCTCCTCCTCCTCCGCCTCCACCTCCGCCTCCTCCTCCTCCTCCTCCTCCGCCTCTTCCTCCTCCTCCTCCTCCTCCTCCTCCGCCTCCTCCTCCTCCTCCGCCTCCACCTCCGCCTCCTCCGCCTCCTCCTCCGCCTCCTCCTCCGCCTCCTCCTCCGCCTCCACCTCCCTCCTCCTCCTCCTCCTCCTCCTCCTCCGCCTCCTCCTGGTGCAAATCCGTGGCGATGCAGGACGCCAGGTCCCCGAGACCGAAGACACCGACGCAAGCAGGGGGCGGTGGCCAGCCGCCGCGCGCGCCTTACTGCGTCCCCGCCAGACTCGCAAATTCTGCAGCGGTAAGTGGCGATTCCTCCCTCTCCTCTCCTGCCAGCAGCAGCAGGGAGAAGCAGGAAGAGACAAGCCGGGGAATGGTCCACACCCAGACCTCCACGTGGCCCCCAGAATGATGCAAGGATGCTCCGAGGCTACCAGAGAACAATTGAACGCGCCCCATGCAAGGGTCATAAACAAGTGTCCAGGAGGCATCCCAAGAGACAGCCAAGAGGATGTTTGCCAACAACCCAGGCACGGTAGCGAGATGCACCGAAGGCCACTATACAACTTGTTCACAGGAAGGCCAGTTCGCACAGCTGGACGCTAGGCCGTCGGGTAGACGACTAAACATCTCAACATGTAATGATCCACCTTCCACTACATTTCCTCTAGATGAAGGAGGGAGACGGAACAGGGGAGGAGGTGGGAGAAGGGGAGAAGGGCAAGCTAGGCGCGCTCGCGCCATATCCAACATCCGACCCATCCCATACATCCCCTCCCATTGACCGAAGTTTCTCTATTCACCGACGGGTGTCACGGCGGACCTGGAATTTGTACAATCAGACAAAGGGAGCTGTATACGTTGGAGAAGGAGGAAGAAGAAGAAGACGGTGGCAGATGAACAATAGGATTAGCAGGAGGACGCGGATGAGGATGGAGAAGGAGGAGGACAAGCATGAACAACAGCAGCAGGAGAAAAAGTACAAAGAGCGAGAGGAGCAGGAGGACCAGGGGAAGGCGGAGGAGGTGAAAGGAGCGGGGCCAGGATCAGCGAGGAGCCAGGATCAGGGGGGAGGAGGGGGGGATGAGCGCGAGAGCGAGGAGCCAGGATCAGGGAGGAGGGAGGGGGGAGGAGGAACAGGAAGCGAGGAGCAGTGATAAAGGAGCCCATGAGGGAGGACCGAGGCGAGGCTGGAGGAAGAGGAGCGAGGGTGAGGAGGCAGGAGACGAGGGGCGTCCTTGAGGAAGCCTTCCAGGCCGTCGCCGCCGCCGACGAGGATGGGCTTCGGGTTCGCCGGGATCTGGCACGGCGCCGTCAGGTAGTGCCACATGAGTAGGGGAACAAAAAATGGCATAAACATAAAAACTCGAAGGTCCGCGCGGATTTCTCGGATCGGCGCTGGACACCCCTCCGAGAACGCCGGTCCGAGAACTCCGCGCGGACCTCCGAGTTTTTATGTTTCTGCCACTTTTTGTCCCCCTGATGAGCGGGAAGAACCGGTCGAGCAGGAGGTTCCTGGTGGGCTCCTCGGCGGGCGGGGCCGCTGCGAACCCCTCCGCGGGCCCCCCCGGGGGCCCCCCGGCGGACCGGGGCCCCGCCGGGCGGCGCGCCCGCCGCGGAGGGCGGCCGGGAGCTCCGCGGCAGCGTGGCGGTCCTCGGGGCCGCGGTGCCCCTCCGCGGGCCCCTGCTGGGCCCCGGCGGACCCGGGCCCCGCCTGGCGGCGCCCGCCGCGAGGAGGGCGCCCGGGAGCTCTCCGCGGCAGCGGGGCGGCCCTCGGGGCGCCCCTGGGAGGGCCGGGAGGCGGCTCCTCGCGGAGAGGCCGCGGGCCCGGGCCGAGCCGAGGGCGGCCCGCGGGCGCTCGGGGCGTCCCCGCTCCGCGAGCTCGAGCGTGCGCAGGTCTGCCTGCAAGGGCTCGAGCAGGGGGAATCGGCTACAGGATCGAGTGGCACCGAGACGGATTGGTTCGTCGGGTTGGGGCGAAACATGCGTTGGATGCTCCGTGGAGCACTCTGCGCCTTCGCGCGCAGGTTCGGCGGAGCATCATGTTTGGGGCAAAATCGATTATGTTGTCGATCCCCTCCTCGGAGGGCGACGCGCACCAGAGCTGCGCCGCCCCACTCTGCGCCTCGCGCTCTGCGCGATGCGCGGCCATTTTTTCGCGCTGCCGGGCCGCCGCCCTGGAGAGGAGCACACCTCCCCGGCCCAGGCCTGGGAGCGCGGAGCGCAGTCCTCTGCGCGCCCCTGCGGGTGACCCGGGTGCGAGCAGTCTGGCCTTCTGCGAAGCTCGGGGAGGCACTCCGGAGGGGTACAGGGTCGACGTGCAGATGAGTTTTCGGACAAACCAACTCTGTAGTCGAACCCCCGCTCGACGAATGGCCCGCCTCCTGCTCCCGAGAGCCACAGGGGGGAGGGAGCGATGCCACAAAAGCAAAGCAGCCTGATTGCTCTCTGCTCGCGCCCCCCGTGACAGGCAATCTGTGAACTCTGACACCTATCGTGCTCACCTGGACTTCACGACAGTAAAGGCCATCTGCGCCACACGCACGGGAACACGCGTACAAGTAACACGAGATGTGGAGTGTGCACCAGACCGCCAACACGGAAGGCGGAAGAGCAGGCAGCTATGCAAACATTCAGAGAAATCAGAAAACCAATAACACCTCCCAACAAGAATAACAAGACGAGAGGCGGCGGCGGCGGCGGCGGCGGGGGAGGCGGAAGAGCAGGTAGCAATGCAAACATTCATAGAAATCCGAAAACCAACAACACCTCACAATAATAAAAACAAGACGAGCGGCGGCGGCGGCGGATCGGCGGCCGCAGCAGCAGCGGCAAGAGCACGACGAGAAGGAGGGATGCGGTCGGAACTCCCGTGCCGAAGCAGGCGGTCCCCACCTCTCCGTCCCGCGCCAGGCCCGCTCCTGGCCCGCACACGCCTCGACGAGAGCACGGCGTCGAGTCGCACGAGCAGAGGGACGAGATGGGAAGGCGAGTCGAACGAATCAAAGGAGGAGAAGGAGGAGGAGAAGGAGGAGAGGGAGGAGGAGGAGGAGGAGGAGGAGGAGGAGGAGGAGGAGGAGGAGGGAGGAGGCGGAGGAGGACGAGGAGGAGGAGGAGGAGGAGGAGGAGGAGGAGGAGGAGGAGGAGGGGAAGGAGGAGGAGGAGGAGGAGGAGGAGGAGGAGGAGGAGTCCAAGGGGCGACCTGC